AACAACACACAAAATCATGAAACATTCATAGTCATGCTCTTCAGCACATTATGCAATCAAACATAGACACACTCTATAAGATTCGGCGACAACCACAACCATGTACAAATTAGTTACCAACCTCGAGTCTCCCTAACATCTCAAGCACCTCTACGCTTATCACAKCTATCCTGGCCTTCCACAGCTAACTCCTTCGAGTAGAGTCGGCCCCTGACCATTTTTACCCAGAGCCCCGACACTACTGCATCAGCCCTCGACCATTTTTACCCAAGGCCCCGATGACTTCACCATCTATCAGCCCTTGACAATTTTTACCCAAGGTCCCAATAGTTTTTCTTCCAAATGACTCCTGGCATCGACCCTCGACCATTTTTACCCGAGGCCTCGGTACTCAATTAATGACGTATCAGCCTCCGACCATTTATACCCGAGGCCCTAACACTCACGCATTCACTTTTCCCAAGAATCCAACGTCCCTTGTCATAACCCACTCCACATTAACCGCTAGCCTGCGAACAGAGTCCGAAAATATGCTTCTATTACACCCACATCTCATATGAAAATAATATGACTCAGACCAGCACACTTGCAACATAAAGAAACGTTTATATATGCTCAACCAGCACGCTCACATCATAAATGAACATTTATATAAACTATACAAGCACGCCCACGTCTTAAGAAAGCATAATCACAATAATTCTATTTTTAACGTGCATCTTTTATAAACATACATCATCCCACAACAATTCTCAGCAGTTGAGCAAGGCAAAATTCCACCATTATCACCGACGAATATTCAACACTACACAAAGTATACAGATTAACACAACGAGAGTTACCTAACACAATAGCGTATCAAAATCAATATTAAACATCACGAAACAGCACATTAGAGACCAACTAGCACACATTAACGCACGCACACGCCCCTTGTCTACTTACTCACAACCGCGCCCCTACGTTTTGCGTCGATCTCACACCTAGGCACTAAAACAGAAAAAAAAACAGCAAGTTACATATACTATTCAGCCTTCGAAATCAATTCGAAGAGGGTTCAAATGACTCATTACCAGAAAATCGACTTCGTATAGGTGTGGGTAAC